ACTTCAACTTTATATTTGCTATTTACAAGAAAGCACGCGTAACTCGCGGACTCAAGCTTTCTCTCTCTTTCGAAAGACCGACACGCGCACGTCACGGCGACTCGACCGCCCCAGAGAGAATCTCTCGAACCCGTTGTTTATCGGTCAACGCTGATCATCTGTTGTTTACGACTCGTTGTCAAGAGAATCAGCTGTACGTTCGGAGCGCTAAAAGCGCGGGTATCAAGACACGGGCGTAAAAATCGAATTATTCCCGACGGTGTGTTCACTCTCTCCAGCTCCCTTCCTCCCGGCTCTTTAAACGCTTCGTCTCGCACCTTTTAGCGCGTCGCGCGCGTCAGAATGAACCATTATAACGTACCGTGCGCTAATAAGTACACACGTCTTAGTATTTCTCACGACGCGAAAGATAAAAACGGTCGGTGGGCAATCCCGCTCCGTAAATATCACAACTTTACGTACACGCGGAGACTTTACGCATTTCGCGCTTACATTTTCCCTCGGGTCAACGGTAAAGTAAGTTTGGTAAGTGGAAAAGGACGGTGGATGCGTAAAAACGGCGCGAGGTGTCCGTTAATCGAGCGCTTCACGCGATAACGGCAGTAATGATCACCGGCTGCGCTCATCCAATTTCGCCCGCTGCGTACTCGCTCGAAATTTTACGATCCCGCGCAATGTCGGCGGACGACATTCCCGCTATATATTTCTCAATCCATTAAATAACCATCTCTGGGCCGCCCGTGAACGGGCGTGAAAACAAGAGGCGAGAAAGAGAAAGAGAGAGAGAGAGAGAGAGAGAGAGAGAAAGACGGTAAGACAATACGATGATGAAGACGGATGTCCAGGTCGTGGCTCGCCGCCGCCGCGGCTTACAAATTTGCAGTGGTTGTGGAGGCAGAAGCGAAACGCCTGCGACGATAAAGGGGAAAAAGGGGAACGCGAAAGCGAAATGGAACAAGAAGGCGGACTGGGGGAGGAGGAAGGGTGGCGGCGGAAAGTGGCTGTTGGCTCCGGAAAAACAAGACAAATCGCCTTTTAACCCCCCTTCTTTCCCCCGCCGGAACCCTCCACGAGAATAGCCTTAATTGGTCGGCGGAACGAGCGAGGCTGCCGGAATCCCGCTGTAACCACTTTGCCTAACGCGAGTTTTATCGCGCCCAGGGTATCGATATGAGTAAATGTATCGGCTCGTAAAATTTACGGGGCAGCCGGGAAAAGAGAGGAGAGACAGAGAGGGAGAGATGCTACGGTTCGGCGCGAAGAGAGAGAGAGAGAGCGCCGCCGTGCGTCCCTGCGCTTTATGGATGCATCGGCATGCCGCGTCCTCGATCACGAGAAAACGTTTCCGTTCCGAAGGAAATGGACGCTAAAACGGTTATATGACGTGGGCGAGATTGCGACTTCCCTTATCTTTTTCCGAGCCGCGCTCCCGAGACGACGGCTTAGAAATGGTGCAGCACACCTGTTCGTGCGCGCGATATCGCGTGCAATCTCTTTCTCTCTCTCTCTCTCTCTCTCTTTCTCCGGCTCTCTTGTTTCGGTACGTATTATTGGAAAAGCAGCAAATTATCCGGCGAAATCGCGGAGAGAAAGCGCGGCGAGATCGTGCGAAAAAGCGGAAATTTGTAAACGAGTTCATTACCGCGGCACTTTTAATCGCACGCAATGCAAAAACGCGCACGCGAGGAGTATCGGGTGTTTCCCCCCGCGGAAAGCCCACTGCGGACGACATTGCGAGTAAACGATGTTCGACGAGTTCCGCGAGTTTCGAGAGATAATCGCGCGTTCTTCTCGGCCGAATGACGAATCAGCTCGGGGAACGCTCCCTTCATAACGGGTATTAAGAACAGGTGTGCGTGTTGGGGACTCGCGAAGGCGCAAGAAAGGCGAACCGAGGGGGGGGAACCCCGAGTTAATTAAACTAGAGATAATAAGACGCACGCGTAAACCTTTAATTATTCCATCACGCGCTCACGCGCATTAGCTTATTAAAAGCTGGGAGACCTTAACTCCGCGTTCGTTAAAACGGTTACGCGCACGCGAGCGAGCGACGACGAGCGGNNGGGGGGGGGGGGCGGGTCACGAACGCGCGTTGTTTGTTTCGAATTACGCGCGCCGTATCGGTCAGCTTTACGATCGCTCCGGCGATCTTACTTCGGAATTAAGAGCGACCGTTAAACTCACAGCACGCACCGACGATGATATTTCTCGGTTGCCGCGCGGAGCCACGCCGAAACTCGCGAAACTCGCCGGGAACTTTTGCGAATCTCGCTCTCGTAAAAGGACCGTTTGTTATCCCGTTTGAAACTCCTCCGTCCGGGGCGGCGCCGAATTTATCGAACGTATCGCAAAGGCGCGACGGACCGGGCTTACCTGCCCGTGAGAATTCGTTTCCGATTGCGCAGCGGGCAAAATCAGAAAGGGAGTAAGGCACAGAGAGTGAGAGAGGGGGGGGGGGACAGCTTACTCACGGATCGATAAACAACAAAACCGGCCGAGTTAACCGCGCCCGCGCTTTAAGATATTTTCTGGCATCCAGGTTATTGGAATTGCATTACCGGTGTTCGCGGCCGATCGCTGATTACCAAGGGATATCTGTTTCTGATAACGACGCGCGTTCGATAATTACCACGGTAGTTTGCTGTTTATTAATTATCGGGCTGGCAGGCAGCCGTATTTTGCGTTATTCTCTTCTGGGTGCTGATCGCGGATAATTAATCGCGCGGGCATGCCGAGGCAATTTTCGGAAGTGTATTAAAGCGTGCTCACTATCGCGCGCGACTCTCTCATATTAAATTAGTTTCGAAAAAAAGGTGCGCGCGAGAAGTTCCTCTCTCTCTCTCTCTCTCATTGTCGGGGAACTAATCAGCCGACTTTACGTTTATGTTCGGCGAAAGAGGGCTAGAAAGACGCGTCTTCTTATTAGCTTCGCGAGGCGGACCTTGCGGGAGAGGGTCGGCGGAGGAAGAGGGCGCGGGTACAAAGTATTTTCTTCTTTAATTAGTTTACTCGCGTTATACCGGCGTTCTCTCTCTCGAGACTTTTGCTCTTTTCCCGTTCACCGGGTAAAAGGCGGAACTTTTATGAAATATTCCTTAATTATATTTTAATTATGTATCCAGCTCGCTCTCTCTCTCTCTCTCTCTCTCTCTCTCTCTCTCTCTCTCTCTCTCTTCCTTAACTATGTGAAACAGGCATTTAATTGCAGGGACAAGCTGAGTCAGTATATCTACAATGGCATATATTTGCGGACACCCTCCCCTTTTTCCATTTTTTCTTTCCGATACGCGCGACGGTAAAATAGACAGGTGCGATCGATCAAGACACTTGTCGGGATCAAGCCGAAACCGAGCCGGCGAATTTTCCACGTCAGCCTCGGGAGAGCGGGGTAAACGTCGCTAAATGGACAGCGCCTTAATTATCCCTATCGTCGCGCGGCATCATCCGTTCGGGTTTAACGCGCTCTGAAACGAAAGCTGTGTTAGCGACGGTTTTCGTCGCAGCCGCGTGTCACGCCGCGGACGAAGTGGATTAGTCGGCCGCATTGCAGTGTCGGTAATGCGTTCCTGTCAGACAGTAATACTTAACAGCGCACGCTAACGTTCCCCCCGGGCGAGATATTAACCGAGGCCAACCGGAAAAGTGGTTATATTATTTGCTGCGGCACGGGAGACCGTCAGAAACTGACGTCGTTCGTACCCGCTCGCTTTTAACAAAATCCGTATGCCGGAAATTTTGCGAGGTGGTTTGTCCCTTTCTTCGGGAGAAACGAACGCGTAGAGACTCACCGTACCGCAGAGAGTACACACCGCGGTCGTGCCGAGAGGGAAATGTAAATATTTGTAAATACAATCATCATAGTGAAAGAAACTATCGTCAGGAGAATCAGGAACGCTGCTATTATTTTTGTAGTTAAAGTCATAAAAAGAGCACGGCTGGGGTTGAAAATAATTGTAATTTCTCTCATTGCCTTTCACCGTTGTAACTTAGGATTACTCGTGCAATTTTCAACTTTAAACGCGTATGATCGAAAATCGTATAAATGCACTGAGAGGGAAAATATCTTAGAAATAAGAGAATAGTTTTCTTGGTGGGTATTAATAATATATTTACTTGTATTAATATATAAATGTTGCTGTATTAAGGAAAAACTTTTCTCAAATAAGAGCGAAAATATACAATTTCTTGAATTCGCAGCTTTTCACAAAAGCAATTGTTTATTTCATTTAAAAAGAAGATTACATTTAAGTAAATATGTTATTAGTACCCAGCGAGTAACTATTTTTTTACATATTTTTTCTCTCGGCGTAACCTTAATTGCAATGGCACACATGACGCTGACCGTACACGATGCAGTGTGTATGGTCAGTCACAAAAAAGTCGCAATACTTTTTTCCCGATGAAGTTTGCAACGCATCTCGTATCCAGTAGAAAAATGTATTTCCTGAGAATTACTGAAGAAACAAATTCTCCTGTTGGGCACAGGATGCGTCCCGAAATTCATAAAAAAGCAAAAACTGCAATCTTTTTCCGACTGACCGTACAGTCGTGTAGGATTTTATCGAGATTGGCTTACCAGGAAAATTAGACGATAATTATACAGAGAGTTATGAAAGTGTATCGATATCGAAATCGCGTGGGTTCATTAGTTACATCATAATAAGATTCAGAGAGAAAAGCGCGATTCTTATAACCTCGGATATGCATCCACGTGAAATCTACTCCTCTCTCTTTCNCCCCCCCCCTCCCTTCTACCTATCGGCTTCGCCGGTGCTCGCGAATGTTTCCAAATGACGTTGAAATTTATATTAAAAAAGTTTCATATCTCACGTTCGGCGATCGCGCGCCGCTCGCCTATTGAACGGGCGGTCGTCCCTTCCGTAGCGAGCGGGCGGGCCGACCGACCGGGTGGATAATATATTGCTGAACTCCCGATGAAATTACGACGGTCCGCGACGTCGGGACATTCCCTTGACATTCTAATGAAAGTCGCCGCTCACCCGCGATGATGACGCGCGCGGTGTGACTGATCTGGCCCTCTCCGTTCCTGGCGATGCAGGTGTAATCGCCGATGTCCTCGTTCTTGATCGTCGAGATCCTGAGCTCGGTGCCGTCGTTGAATATACCGATGGTCGACGACGGCTCGACGGGATTCGCGTCCTTGTACCAAAGGATCTCCGGCGACGGTGTACCCTCAGCCTGGCAGTTCAGTATTATCGCATCGCCCAGATTCACGTATATCATATCATCCGGCGTTATGCTGAATCTGGGTGGCGCTGCGAACAATGGATGCGATTGGTTGGCGATTAGATACGATATCCGTGACTGTATCGTGCCGCGTTGAATCCGCGATCTTAACTTTACAAGAACTCCGGTTGAGGGGGGGGGGGAGAAGATCGATGATGTCTCGTAATATTAAAGACTAATATAGACAAGTATCGGACTTACTGACCGTTTTGTTTTGAAAACACAGTAGTGGAAAGCTTATATAATTTATAATAATACATATACATATATATATATACACATATTTAAACATTTATATATCCCTTTCTATTACCTATGCGTCTGTATTAGATCAACTGACACATAAATAAGAAAAATAGAAAATAATAATATTTTTATATTATTTGTAATACTGCGAATAAATATTTATCTCAGCTTCGTTTCAAATTAACATTTATCATACGGGCGGCGAAATCAATGTATAGAAACGTAATTTTGCCTGATAAGTAGTTAATTTGTGAAAGGCCCCCTGAATGCGCCACTGGAAAATGCGATCTCAGTGAACGAACCTCCTTAATCGAGCGTGCGTGACTCGTATTTGCGAACTCGGGATTACCCCTTTCGCGCACTTCGTCTCAGGTCATTTTTCCGAGCCGGTGGCGCGCCTCAGCGCGTTGTTTTACAGCGCGCGAGCCGGGGGATGAAATTTCTCTCCTCTCGCGCGGCCGAAGATGGAGAGACGCGCGCTTAGCACATCGGCGACAGAAAATTGTCGCGAGAAAACGTCGTTGGGAGCGAAGAATCAAACGGCTGCGAAGCGCGAGCGTGGACGTTTAGAAAACGTCGGTTCCCCGAGAGAACTTCCGTCGCGTTTTTATCGTCGTTCATCCCGAGAGCGCCCACCCCTTTTCACCCCGAAGAAATCACAATGGTTCTTCGCCGCCCGTCGTGACCGGACAGGCGATGTAAAGAGCCGTTCGTTCTTTTGCCCTAAGACGACACGTAGCGTGCCGTACCGGAAGGAGGTCGGCGATTCCGCACGGCCGACTGAAAGAGCGAAAGGGAGCGAGCGAGGGGGAGCGAGGAAGGTGCGGTGAAACGAGTGATTGAAATAATGCAAATTCTACGTCGCGGTAGTTAAGAAAACCGTCGCTCCCCCGACGGATTTTACCCGTCGCCGAAGAGCCGTGCGTTCCTCTCTCCCGCGCGAGCGGGAATTATTCCGTTGGAGAAATTTTAATCGACGCGCGTATGCGAGAACGCATCCAGCGGAAATCTGGAATATCGCGAAAAAAAATCGCGGGGAAAGCTTCGATTGAATATTTCCCGGACGGGGGCTTCGTGTGCGGCGAGAGTTTGTTTTTCTCTCCCTCTTTCTCTCTTCCTTCGGCGCGAATTTTCGGTATTCGGGAGATACCGCTCTTGTTCTACCCGTCGCTGAGATATTGCCTCGTCGCGCGACGTCCGCTCGCGATCGCCGCTCGTCCGAGGAATTTTAATTTCGCGAGTGACGCTCCGGAAGCGAACAAAAGCGAAAATGCGAGGAAGAAGAGGACGAAGAAGTTGACGGTGGGAAAAGATCGACGGCGACGCGAAGAAGCGAGACGCGGTTTGTGTCTCTAACGCGTGCAAGCGACCGAATGGAGCCGACTACAAAGTATAAAGGAACCTTAAACGCTTTCTGGAGCTCCAAGTATTTTCCCCTTTCACGTCGTTTTGCGGGTCTATCGTCGTCGTCGTCGTCGTCGCCGACGTCGTCGTCGTTGTCACCGCTGTCACCGTCATCGTCGTCCTCGTCGTTGTTGTTGAGTGTGACCGAGGGCTCGGAGAATGAGGGAGAAATTGGGAATGAGCGTAGCGGCCTGGTGGAGCGGAAGGGAGAAGGGGAAGGGACGGGGTGGATGAGGTGTGACGAGGAAAAAAGGAGGACAACGGGACATCCTCCCTGAGCTATCTAAATATTTCTCTTCCCTTCGGCCCTTCGCCCGTCGTTTATAGCCCGAGCAAAATGCGGCAATAAGTTTCCCTCTTTCTTCTATCGCTTTCCTCGCCCCCTCCCCTTCTTTTTTTCGCCGCTCCATCCCATTTCCCGTCCGGTAACACGATCTTTTTGCGATTCTCCTTTCCATTTTACTCGCCGTAAGCAGGGACGAATTTTCTCGGGAGATTTCGCCGAGGCGGCGCGAAGGGCACGACGATGTCGACGACGGCGACGACGAACTCTCGAAGAAGAAGAAGAAGACGTTCGAACCGCGCTCGCGCTGAACAAGCAAGAAACATAACTTCTTCCCGCACGAACTTGGAGCTAAAGAATGGTGGCGCGCGCGGGGAGGGGAGTGGCGTGGTTGCACGGTGGTGTGTTTGCTGAATGTACAATTCGCGCAGGAGTCGCGCGTCGAAGAATCGACGACGTCTTTTCGAAGCGTCCTTTATGATTCGCATGCTTTCCTTTTCCTGATAGGAAGTCACGTCGACGATGAAAAGCGCCGGTCGAGATGAAAAGGGAAACGCGACGGCAGAAAGGGGAATATTTTCGCGTGCTGTATTCGCCGATGTTTAACCAAGCGCGAATGAAGGACGGAATTGCACGAGTCTGAGGGAGACACGCAAACGTGCCCCCCCCCCCTCCCGCCGACTCGGACACGTTTCTCATCGGATTAATTCTGTTTCGTGCATTTATTAGGCCAGGTTTTTTGTAGCGCAGCCAACGAGGCTAAATTTGAGAAATACACTGAGAAAAAAAGCGTTTTGATAATTTTGGTAATTTTGGTAACTGTAGTCGGCATCGATGAAGAAACTCCAATCAGGAGAATCATTTTTGTGATACTACCATAGTGTCAATGATAATAATCTCATACGAATATTGTGCTGCTATTACTTTTTTATTAAAACAAGAAGATGTATTTGGCGCCGAAAATAGCTTTTATAATTTTATATTTTAGCGACGAACATCTTTTTCTCTCAGTTTTTTTATTTCTGACGCTCGAGAAAGCATAACCGAAGTCTGCGTGACAGCAAGCGAAGCGCACGAAAAAAAAAAAAGAAATGCATATTTGCATCTTCAATTTTTGCAAAAACGGTGAGTCACGAGCAATGTATGTTACTCGGAAATTAAATTCTACGCGCGCGCGCGCGCACACACTTTTCCCGATGAACTTGCGAAAATTTGCAAATTTCTAGAAATTACACGGGACTGTTCAAATACGGCCTTAACTCACACAGTTAACTTCCCGCAAGTGTCATAAAACTACATTAGTCGAAGTCGTAAAATCTCGTTAAGTCCCAAGTGATATTAATGAGGCTATCCACAGCCGGAAATAACGCGGCTTCACCTCTCATACAAGCTGCACATAAGCTTCGGTTAAGTTCTCGTAATAAGAAACATAACTTGTACTACTAATATACAATTTTACATATGTATGAACTTTCAAGCATCTTTTATTTCGCGGCAAAAATTATGCAACGGGAAGAATAGTCAGGTTGTAACAGGATGTCGATTGAAACAGTCTAAATCTGCGGCAAAATCGGTGAGAGAACGAAATTATTATTACCGTTTGAAAACCTTACGAAACAGTCTGACATAAACTCGCAACAATCCGCTTTATTAATTCCGAAGCCTCGACGAGTCGCGCCGTCGCAAATCGCATTTGCGTCCGGCGCACGGATGGCAAATACCGGTGAAGTTTCCGGGCTACTTACCGTGGACGTCTAGGTGAAACCAGGTACCGTTCTTGTGACTGTTGGGCGACCTGTTGAGGAAGACGACCTTGCACTTGTACCATCCTTGATCGCTCTCGCGGATGTTCGTCAGATTGAGGCTGGCCCCGCCGTACGGTGAATTCGGGCTCACCCTCGAGACACGACCTTCGTATCCCTCGCCACTGTGGGTCGGATACGACTCGTACCATATGTATATCGGTATCTCCTGCCCCTTGCACCAACACCAACACGCAACATAAACGAGAGATCGCAATGAACGCGTGTGCGCCGGTGCGAGCGTTCGTTCCACACACTTTATCCGCGGATTTCCCCGGCGAGAAATACGGAGGGAATTTTATCACGGCAAAATTTTCTTTTTCCCGTCGTCGGAAAGGAAGAAGAAGAAATGCGCGGGGAGAGCCGGTAACTTTATTAGATATTTCCGTTTTATTAGATCGCGCTGTTTTACGGAAGATGCGCGGAAACGGGAGAGGGAAGAAGAGAGATGCGTCGTCATATGTACACGTTATAAGATTATAGCGTAAAATTTGGATCTCTCCTCCCGCGCGTCGGAAGAGCTTCTCCCCCCCCCCCCCCCCCCCC